TTCCTTGGCTATGCGTCAAATTGCAATCAATAAAACTAGAAGCTAAATTCTCAGTAAAGAATGGTTCTGACAAACTGTTAGAACATGAAGATAATGCACAAGAAACATCTGAAGAGATGGAAGATAAATATGATACTCTATCATCCTCTACGTTAGCACTGCTTGTGCTGGCAATATTGTTGTTAATGGAAGGCAAGTTATTAAAATCATTATTTTGCGATACAGCTAAAACATGTTGCAATGCGGAATTATCACTAGACTCTACATTGGTAACGTTATAAGTATTTTTTTCTGCATTTTGCATTTTTAAATTATGCCGTACTTCCTTCATAATAATCTTTCTTTGTCTCATTGATAATTTGTGCAACGATTTACGCGAGGTGGATAATTTTAAATATGGCTTCATATTTACGTAACTTTGTTGTTGCAAGTCCAGGTCCAAAATGTAGAACGCTTGAAAATCGTTGAGAAAACTCGTTGAACACCACACTAAATATCACTTGAATATCACAAACTCATCAAACACAATTCACTCCGAGTTGAACACGGAATAAACAAATATGTAACCTACTATACTTAAGGCGGAAAGCACACACTCTTGCATAAAGGCATAATGCACAACGCATAAGGAAATGAACCAATCAGAGTCTTTCATTTGTATTGCTACATTCCAAATGAAAGACTGTGATTAGTTCATTTCCTTATGATCGTGCATTATGTCTTTATGCAAGAGTGTGTGCTTCCTGCTTCAACCTGCACATTAAAACTTAAGCGTCTTCTACAATGGTAGTAGGAGTAGTAGTAAGAAAAAAGCAGTAAGTAAATAGACCAATCACAATCGATTATTTTTGAAACGTGAGAATAGAATTGATCAATTTGCTTACTGCTTATTTCTTACTACTACTTCTACTGCCATTGTAGAAGACGCTTTAAGGGACGTCTACATTGGAAGTAAACAGTAAGAAGTAGGAAGTAAGAATAAGAAATTGACCAATCATAGTTAATTATTCTTCTCATATTCGACTGTGGTTGGTCAATTTCTTACTCTTACTTCCTACTTCTTGCTATTTACTTCCAATGTAGACGTCCCTTTAAGCATAGATAGGCATTCGAGCCTCAAGTCCCATATTCTTGAAATTTTAACGTACACGCTATTTTTATTGCGCAATTCTTCTATAATATAATTAAACCTCGGCTGGGGCTAAAATTCTCATCCGCCCAAGGGCGGAAATTTTCAGTGAAATGAAACGTGCACCCCAATCACAGCCATTATATATTATTCGTGAAAAGAATAGAATGGCTGCGATTGGTTCGCGCGTTTTGTTTCGCTAAAAATTTCTGCTCACGAGACATCGCCGTAACGGTTAATGGCCATTCTACAATAAGCTTTTAGTCATAAGTCCTAATAAAATTGACCAATCATAGTTGACTATTAGAAGAATAATCCATCTGTAATTGGTCAATTTTATTACAACTTATGACTAAAAGCTTATTGTAGAATGGCCATAAAGCCTTCACACACACTTTCCGTAACAGTATCCGTAAGACGTAACGTAAGAATTAACCAATCACGTTGAGAATCGTCGAAACATAAGGTCGCCATTTTTGTGAAT